ATGGGGCTCGACTGGGTGGTGCTGGGTGACTTCCAGATGGCCCCGGAGGTGCTGCTCGGGCAGGGGTGGTTACGCCTCGTCGGAGGCCAATGCATCGCGCCCACGGCTGCCACGTGCCACGTCGCCAAGCCAGGGTCGACCATCGACTTCTTCTTGGTTTCACGCCACCTCGTGCCCAGGCTCCCTGACCTTCCAGATGTGGACAACTCCACCAAGCTGTGGCCACATGCGCCGGTGACATTGGCCCTGCGACATCCGCAGCTCCAGCAGGAGGCGTGGGTTCGACAGCTGGTTCAGCCCAGGCAGCTGCCAGTGGTGCCCCCGGTGGGGTGCGCGCGATTTCCGTGGGCCTCCTGGACAGAGGTCCTCCGGTCGGTGGCGCATGCGGAAGCGGCTGACCAGCTGGCGGTAGCATGGGACCTGGTGCTGCGTGGCATCACCCACGAGCTCCTGGACAGGCACGACATCGTGGATCCGCGAGAACAGACTCCCTATCACCAGTGGGAGGGCCCGCCACAGTACCAGTAGCACAAGCTGCAGTGGGAGCCACGACGACGACGGCCGCGGCATGGGGCCAAGGTCACAGCTTGGGTCATTGCTGCCCGCTGGTCCAATCACCTGGCCGCGGTCCACAAGTACCTGATGACAACTACGCAGCGGCTGCAGGCACTCTCTGAGCCCAGCGCCAGCTCGCAGTGCCAGGGCCCTCAGACCGCGCATGCCCCAGCGCATAGGACGAAGCAGCTGGCCTTGCAGGAGAAGCTGCTCAAGGGCTTGGCCACTGCGTTGTACCAGCTCGACGGCTACGTGCGCAAGATCCGGCAGTCCACCGCGGTCCTCCGCCAGCTCGACGACAAGTATCGACAGTTCCTCGAGCTGGGGCTGGACATGTTCGCACAGCCCGGTTGCCACACCCTCTGGGAGGAGATCGGTGCACGCGGCGCCCAGCAGCAGAAGGCAGCGGAACTCCAGTCCCAGAAGTCGTGGCAGTCCTGGGCTAAGGATGCGTTTCTGGGCGGGGCAGGCCTCGCGCATCGTACCAGCAAGGTGCGAGTGCAGGAGGAGGTCACCCCCAATGCCGGCCAGGCGGGGCAACCCTTCGAGGTCGCCGACGCGGAGATGGCAAAGTGGCAGGAAATTTGGGACACCAACCAGTTGGCCCCTCTCGAGCGCCCCTCGCAGTACGATGCCTGGGGGCCGCTGCCCGCCATCACCGTGGAGCACCTCCGCGGCGCAACTCGCAGCTTCAAGGCGAGCACGGCCCGCGGGCCTTCGAGGCTGGCGCCCCGGTCGCTGGACCAGCTCTCGGACGAGGCTCTTGTCGTCTTGGGCATCCTCTTCGAACGCTGCGAGGCTCTGGGTGTCTGGCCTGAGCGACGCTTGGTGTGTGAGCTTGTCAGGTTGCCCAAAGACGGAGGTGGCGCCAGGTTGATCGGCCTCCTCCACTCCCTCGTGCGCGTGTGGTCTCGGGCTCGTCGCCCTGTGTCCAAGCAGCGGGAAGCCCGTGCGCAATGCCAGCAGATCTGGGGGCTAGGATCGGGGCGGAGCGCCAGTGACTGCGCATTTGACCACAACATCGCCTCCGAGATCGCGCGATCCCGGGGCCGCGCTTCCATCACTGTCATCATCGACCTCTGGAAGTGCTTCGAGACGATCGACCCCGCCATCGTATTGCGCGAGGCGCACCTCGTTGGGTACCCCAAGAGGCTCATGTGGATGCTCCTGCAGGTCTACGCCTCCCCCCGCATCTTGCGGGCGTTTGACAGCGTGTCCCATGAGGTCGTCAGCTTCCAGGGGACCATCGCGGGCTGCTCGCACGCCACCACGGCCCTCGGCGTCCTCATCACCCGAGCGCTGCGCAGTGCGGCTCAACAGGATGCTTGCACCATCTTGCGATCGCTAGTGGACGATGTGACGTTGCAGTGGGCAGGGCAGCCAGGCCCGGGCGTCCGCGCCCTGGCCCGGACCACGGCGAGTTTCCTCAAGGACTTGGAGGCCCTTCACCTCCGCGTGCAGCGGTCCAAGTTGGGCTTCGTGGCCACCGAGCGCAAGGTTGCGCAGATCTTCCGAGGAGCGACGCGGGCACTCCGCATCCCCAGGAAGGCGTGGGCTCGCAACCTCGGCCACGAGGTATTCGGCACCCGCCCCCTCCGCACGCAGGAGCGGAGGCGACTGCGGGCCCTCCACGCGCGCAGGCGGCGGCTCGCCATGCTGCGCCAGGCTGCTGGGCGGCGTGCGGCGCGTCTCCAGACCACTGGGCTTACCCCTGCTGTGGGGCATGGCGCTGGCGTCAGCGGCGTCGCCGAGGGCAGGCTGAAGGTGATCCGCACGGCGGCGGGCGCGCTGGCAGGGCATCGCCCGTTCTCCAGTCTCACCGGCACGCTGATGACGCAGACTTCGGCCAGATACGACCCCTTGTTCGCCATCACCACGGAGCTCGTGGTCCGATATGCAGGCTGGTGGTGGGAGGGCCGGGCCAGCGCATCCGATAGGCAGTGCGCTTGGAGCCGCGCCCACGCCGAGTTGCAGCAGGACCCCTCCTGGGCGCGCGTGCGGGGGCCCATTGCCGCGGTGTACTTGACCCTCCAGCGGATCAACTGGACGATGCAGGCTGCGCACTCGCTCGTCGACGACATAGGTTGCTCGTTCTCCCTCCTGGACACGGCCCCGAGGGACATCCTAGATGCCCTCCGCCAGAGCATCCAACGCTGGCAGTGCAGGCAGCTGACCCAGACCCTGCCAGAGGCGAACGGTGAGCTGCTCTGGCCGCGGGCTATCGACGCGCGCCTTCGGGGCCCGCGCGGGGTCAAGGGGCCGAAGGCACAAGGCGCTCTGCAGTGCCTCTGGGCTTATGTCGGCAGGGCATCCTAGAGGGCCTCATCAGGGACCCTTTGTTTTTTTCCCCGCCAGGCTCCCGCAGGAGCATCCGCAGGCCCTCGGAAATTTCCCTGCAAGCCTCCCGCGGGGCACCCGCAGAGCACATGCAGGGCCTCACCGAAAAAACAAAAAGCATCCGCAAAGCCATCCGCAAAGCATCTGCAAAGCATATGCAAAAACACAAAAAAAACAAGCAATCATATGTCTTGCACGCAACGCGATCGTCTCAGCGTAGGAAGAAGTCCAGACTGGCGCGCCCCCGAGGCACCGACGATTGATATGCATGTTATAGGAAAGGCTAGACGAGTATATATGTGAAGGCGCTGGGAAGCCTCATAAGGGGGCTGGCGGATATATCTTCAGAGTGCAGGCGGGGCTCCTAAGAGGGGACTCATAGGGGGCCTCATGGGGGGGTCGGCGGATGTACGGGGGCTGGGGGAATTCTTGGGGGGGGCCTTACTGAGTGAATGCGCTGGGTGGCCTCATATGGGGGCTGGCGTATCTAGCTACAGATCGCATGCTGGACTCCTGAAGGCCTAGGTTGAGAATCTGGGGGCGTCCACGGCAGGGTGTCTAGGGCAGGGTGTTCTGGGGTGCTTAATGGCTCAGGGCGGGTTCGCGATGTGTCATACGTGCCAGCGCAGAGATATAAACGGTTAGTTATCTTGACCCGAACTTTTAGTCCAAAGTTTCAGGCGGTCGGAGCCGAAATCCATACGTGCGGTAAGTTTTGGAAAATAGTGAGACATCGGGGAGGGAGGGGATGTGACTTCAGGGAGAGGGGGGGCGGATTGAGAGCCCCAGAGATGAGAAATGATGGAGGGGGGCACAGTACATTATATATTTAAGAAGAATCAAAAGGGCAAACATAGGTAAACGAAGAGATGAGGAACATCTACCAGACAGCCAGCCTTGAAATACCAACCCTGGCAATCAACAGACAACACATCTCGTTCATGACCGTGACCATTTTGGCTCAACTTTCGGCATTCTCCATATCATGTGCGTACCACTTGTACTCATGTACGCATACATGACAATTTTGTTCGCGTCAGCCTTTATGGCAGGCGCAGGTGACTCGTGGCTTGCGGCTTTGAGCGACGTTGGCAGCGACACGGCCGTCGACGACGATGTGGGCGAGAGCTGGCTTTCAGCGCTGGGCGCCGTGAGCGATAAGGCTGACGCTGTGCAGGAGCTGCCGCAGCCAGATGGAGACGACTGGTTGGCAGGTGTGGACGCCCTCTCGTGCGACGACTGCTCTGCCGACGGCGACGTGGACGGCGAGCTCGACCATGAGATGGCGTTGGTCCCCGTAGAGGTGAAGAAGGATGTCTACTGGGCATCGCAGGCTTGCAGGCACGTGCCCGACAGCGACCTCGACGAATCAGCTTTCAAGATAGCCACAGAGGTGATGGACGACGACCCGCTCACAGGGCGGATCACCAGCAACGCGCGTAACCTCGACGAGAGCCGCTCGAAGTATAGGGACACGCTGAAGATCATGGCAGGGTGTGCGTTGCAGGTCTTAGAGGCGTTTGAAATGCAAACCGTCGCTGCGATTTCGATTTGTTTTTTTGGTGGGCCATCTCGGCCCCAGGCCGGGGAAAAAAACACTGGAAACCAGATCGCGATGCAGCGGCGGTTTGTTTTCAGACGCCGCCGCAGGTCGAGCGCAACGTATGGAAACACGCTGAGGAGCTATTGGTTAGCTACGCTGGCTCTTCCAAGAGAGTGGAGCTTCTGTGCTACGTGGAGTACGCCAGCTATGACAGCACCGATTTTATCTTGCAGAGTACGCAGACGGTGACCGAGACGCTCGACGACGGACACTCCATCGTGGACCACGGGGCCCCTCCAGGACAAGAGCCAGATGAAGCTAACACCGTCGTTCTTGTGGAGAAAACAGTGGGCACGAAAAAGGTACTACAGATGGACACGAACGTTTTGCTTTTGCTGAAGATTGATGGTCGGTATGCGATTCTCCGTGGGAATATGCTATCGTGGCTCCAGGTGTGCGATAGGAACTCTGCTAAAAATTACAAGGCTGCTATTTCAGAATATTCGATTGGGACATCAAATGCAGCTTCGTTCCTCAGGAGGCTTCGCATTGTTTGCACTGACGGGTACACGGCAAATCTGAAGGCTGAGCGCCATCTATTGTCTGAGCGCGAAGGATGGGCAGTGCTACACCTTCTTTGTCGGGTACACACAGTGTCTGGATCCCACGCTAAGGTTTACGACATGCACGCGGAAGATATATCGGGGCTTGTTGCGACGACGCTTTCACTGAGGCTGGCTGGCCAGATGAGCTTGCTACGAAAGGCTGCCAGGCGGATCATTAGACAGAAGTTGGTGATTGTGACAGGCGTAGCTCTGGATGCCAAGGCAGTTGCGTTCAGGAACCTGGTGATGGATACATTATTGGACGCTTCTCCTCAGTGCGCGGCGCTTCGAATGCTGCTCGAACGGTGTGCGCCAGGGGATTGGAGAGATAAGGACCGTATGATGTTCGTTGCACTGCCAGGGGAGACTCGAGCTGACGTCCTTCGTCTGCTGTTCAAGGAGTTCGTGCCAGCAATCTTCCCCCACGCCCCGTACTTGTTCCCTCGCCACAGGTGGACTGAGGCAGACATCACGTTTCGCGACGTCGGCCTGCCGATGAACATCCACGGCCTCTTCGGGGCGACATACATGAGCTACCTGAACGTCGAGTACGGCGACGAGGATCCTGGCGACTACCCAGTCGCGCAACCCGACCTGCAGCTGGTGCCGCATGAAGGGCAGCAGGCCCCGCCCGAGGATATCGAGGGCGAAGGTCCAGCTGCCGATGCGCAGCCGCCCGAGAAGGATAAGGAGGCGCCCGAACCTGGCGCGCAGAAGGCCGATCACCCACGAAAGGCCTTCGCCGAGCAGAGCAAGGCATACCGCGGCCAAGCGCGCGACTGGATTTCCACTGAGCCGTCCATCCAGGTCCTGTTCTTCAGGGCGGTTTTGGAGCCAATCAAGAAGTTCCTGGAGATGGAGTTGGAGATGGCAAGCGAGGAGTGGGAGATGAATCAGGACTGTGCCCTTCTCGCCTCAGACGGCGATGCGACGGTGTTGGGTGGGAGGCAATGGCCTATGATGAGTGTTGCGAGGCTGACGTTGGAGACCGAGTGCTTCAAGGACATTGAGAAGGTGGCGAAGTCTATGGAGCTGGACTGCCTGCCAGATGATTGCATGACGCTCGAGAACCAGACGAAGCTGTGCAAGGACTTATCCAGAGAAGGCTGTTGCACTTATCAGTTCGGGGCCTCGATCGGAAAGCAATTCCCCTTCAGGTTGTTTTTGCTTCTTGATGATCGCGCTTTGGCTCCAGAACTCGAGGCTTCTTGCAGGCTTATTCGCGACAAGTTTAGCGATGACTTTATCGAGTACTACAAAGATAAGCCTGGCGGGCTAACGAGCGACCAGGCTTTGCACGAGTTGAGCCTCATCGTGATGGCCAGCAAGACGGCGACGGTGAAATTGGAGACTCAGAACGCGCAGATCAGAAGGCAGGTGGAGGCTACCTCGCTGCAGTCCGCCAGGCCCGAGCTGCCCACCATCAGCGGCAGGTTTGTTCTGAGGAAGGCTTCTACGAGAGAGGCTCGGATCCTGAAGCCAGCGGGGGTCTTCGAGCCCAAGGAGCGGAAGCGCGGAGATCAAAAACCAGACGAACAAGGCCGGCCTACAAAGAGGGGTGGCGGAGGAGCTTGGAGAGCATTCATCGCTGCTCGCGCCAGAGTTGTAGGGAGGGTTGTGCTGCAAGCGGCAGCGGCCGCATACCGAGCGCTATCCCGAGAAGAGTTTGAAGTTTACCAAAGAGCAGGCTCAATCGGGACATCTTTGCATCGAGAGGGCAAGAAGTCTTTCGGCACCGTCTCGAGGGAGCTCAACAAGTTGCTGGGCGAGCAGCAGGCGAAGGAGAGGGCGGAGTCCATCTTGAACGCGAGTCGCATGCCAGGGCGCCCTGCGAGCATCGACATGGTCGCTATCCCAGTCGGCGACGTCGCGACGAACATCGGCACGCTCAGAGCAGATCACTACCTCTGCAGGCGCCTCAAGAAGCGCGCAGTCCACGACAGGGCCATGAGCTTATCCAAGGGCATGCAGCACGTGAACGATTTCATTGCCGCGCTCCCTCTAATGGCTCCATTGGTAAACGGCCTCGTTGCTCGCCCCCACTTTGGTGGCGCATACGTCGTGGAGTATTTCTGCCCCGTCAGGAAGATTATCCCCAGGATGGTGGGCTTGCTGGCCAAGTCCGAGAACGCCAAGATCAGGGAGGTGGTCACCAGCTATTACGACAAGCTTCGCGATGAGAAGAGAGATGCTTCCCAGCAGGACTTCGACGAGACGCCTAAGAAAGCTCATCAGAAACAAAGTTGTATCGACGCAGGCGTGTGCTTGTGTGGCCCGAAGGGGGACCTCGTCTGGAAGTTCAAAAAATGGGTTGATAGTGGCATCAAGTTATACTGCAAATCTACGTCTATGAGGGATGCATTGCCGTCTGGCGATATCGTCGTTAAGATCCATCACGTGCCGGAGGATTCGAGTGGGGATGCCGCCAGCGCTGGAGACGTTGCAGGTGATGAGGCTGGCCCGATGGGCGAATTTGTGACTTACCTTCATATCGGCCTGATGTATTTCTCGCCGTACAGGCCAACTTATCGCCAGTGCGTACCAGCGGATGTCGGTGTGCTCGGTGACGGCGCTATCGTGCTGGATTGCCTGGACGACTACCTGACGAACTTCGAGGTCGCCGACAACTTGTATGCGTACTTTTCGAAGCCAAGCACTTGGAGTTTGTCTGTTATGCGGGTGCAATCCTCGTCCAGGCCCGTATCGCCCATACGGCCGTCACAGCTGGTGGTTGGCAATATCGAAGATGACCGAGAGTTTACGCGACGTTGGCCAGCGCCCAGGCGCAAAAAACGGAAGCGACCTGATGACAATGGGTGGTTGGACGACCT